TTGAGCGCACGCAGGAGTGCCTGTGTAACCTAAGTCTGCCAAGTAGAAAACAAAGGGGTTAAGCACTGCTGAGTCTTCCAGAAACTCTTGTTGCAAGGCACCCGCATACTCCGCAAGGGACTTCGGTATAAAATAAGCTGGAGGGTTGAAGACCTCGGTCTGTTGATCATGACCGAGCTTCTCAACAGCCGCCCTCCAGTCGCACTTGAAGAACAGCTCCTTGGCAGCGTCGCATTGTTTGACATAGGCGTCTTCTGCCTTCTTGTAACCCTGCTTGTAACCCTGCCTTTCGGCTCCCTCCGCGCTCTTTTTTAGTTGAGTTATTTCGGTGTCTTTTCTCTTCTCAAGCTTCACCAACTCCTGCAGATACTTGTCTTTCATAGCGATGGTGGCTTTCTGCTTCTCCGCTTCAGCCGAATTAACCAGATCGGCAAGTCGGCCGTTCTCTGCTTGCATCTCGGCCATTTTCTTTTCAGCTTCTTCTAGCTCGGCCACCTTTGCCTCGACTTCCGCCATTGCCTGCCTTGTGGTTTTTCTAAGCTCTTGGACCTTCTTGTACGTAATGCTATTTTTTTGTAAGGCCTGACGAAACAGAGACATCTCTTGAGCCGAAGTAAAAGTTTGGAAAAATCAGACAGAAAAAGCGGACAGAGCTATTTACCAAAATCATGGACTTCGATGTAGACCGGATTGACTTCATTTCGGTGTTTAATTGCTTTAGGTGGTGCTCCATGTCCTTGGGGAGGCACACACATTTGGCCAGATTAAAGGCCAATTGATGATCCTTTTCAGCAACAACCGAATCAGAAGCTTTGATGTCTCGTTCGTTGAAGGTCAGCTTCGGAGCCCATTTTGCAGATTCTGCTCGGTCAGTTTGCTCCGGTTGAAGAGTAAGTTGAGGACTTTGGGGGATGGATTCAACCTCATCAACAAGTTGCTGTTCGGTCGATGTAGATCGGGCGCGTTTGGAAGGGCGAGATGAAGAAGGCCGTTGAGAAGGGAGGGCCACAACGGCGGGTTGCGTTTCAATAGTTGGTGATACTTCGGCCCTGGTTGTGGCTGTTAGAAGGGCCCTAACTCTGCTTTTCTTTGCCATCTCTTCTTCAGCTGTTAATGGGACAAGTCGTATTTCGGGCAAGGTTGCGTCCGGTTCAGGTGCTTCTTCAAGAAGGAAATCGGTCACTCGGGCTTTTCGACGACCGCTATATCTGTAGGTCGGCTCAAAGTTTAGAAGTTTAGTCCAACTTCTTTCCTTAATCCGTAGTGCGGCTCGAAGTATGTTCAGATTTGGATAGCTATAATGGGATGCAAGATGAGCTGAGTCTGCAAAAAAATATACAACTGTTAGATCGGTCATGACGCCAGAAACCGAAGTAAAGAAAGAAATGCATAAAACCGAAGTAAACTCTACCAGGTTTTCCTTTCTTCCAGTTAATACTTCGGCCTGGGATTTGGGCTTGCTGATCTTCAAAATTGCCCGATACCCAGAAATACCCAGAAGAAGTCGTCGTCATTAACATCCTTATCCGGTGTATCTTTTATTATCTTTTCTCTACGTCGGCGTATCCTAAGGTAATAAACCCAGCCATCATCTTTGGAACCTATGGAGTACTGGTGGAGGATTTCGGCTAAACCGAGGTTCAGGCCTGCTTGGCGGTTTAGCTCGGCAATACCCATTATTATCCGATATGTATTGGTGGATAGCTGGGTTGGGCATAGTCTGGTTTGCCTAAGAAATTCACAAATTAAAGGCTGGACCGGGAACCTTAGTCCGGTTTCTATAATGGATAAAACAGTGAAGGGGACAAAGCCTTGGTTATTCCACGGAATGGTTTCCTTCTTGGCTAGGGTAAGGTGTACATCGTCTGGAATGCCATAATCCCTTCGAAATTCGGCCATACCACCAGGGGTCTCTACCAAGTACCTATACTTACCCATTTGTATAATTTACAAATAAGTTATATCGGTGCAAAAATTGTGCCCAGTAGCTCGGTTGAGCGCACGCAGGAGTACCTGGGTAACCTAAGTCTGCAAAGTAGAAAACAAAGGGGTTAAGCACAGATCATTGGACTGTGCTACAAATTAAAAGCAAGGTAAATGAGCTCTATTTCGGCTTTGTGGGCTGGTTCTGTTTCGGTTCTGCACAATACTCGACAGTTCGGTTTGAACTTATTGTGCGCAAGATCGGTTTTCCTTTAAGGATTTGTTATCTCGGTTTGAACAGTGGGTTTTTTGCTTCGGTTAAGCCACTAGGGGCAGCTTTCTGAGTTTGGTTTAGAAACTAAGAAAGCTGGCTTAGCCCCAAAGGCTTAGCTCGGTTGAAGACTATGGTTCTTAGTTTAATGTATTCAGACTTCGTTCGGTGATCTTGTTTCGGCTAAAGTGAATCAGAAGGTTATTTTTTGAAGCTACTGTCGTCTCTACAAGTTCTAGTTCGGCTATTGACTGAAGTGATCTGCCTATATAGACAAACAGTACCCTAGATCGGTCGCTACATTATTTTGGATCTAAGACTAGTTTTTTACAAAAATTCATACGCGCATGAGTTCTGCTAGTGTTTTTTCATGAAAATACAAAAGCAAAGCAGAAAGGGAAGAATATGTTTTGCAAAAATACAGTAAACCAAATGTATAGAAGCAGATACGAAAGCAAAAACAGGGGAGGAAAGTAGATTCGCTTACCAGATTAAAGAATAAGGGACTGAAGATGAAAACTGTTGTAGCAATGGAGGGCACGAACATAGCTAGCTCAAACTCAGGGCTCAGGAACAAGAGAAAGAAGAAGAAGGGAGTAAAGTAAATGATTGGAAAAGTGAAAGGGTGGTTTTGTGAAAAAGGAGAGAGGGGAAAGAAGCGGAACTGTTCAAAAATTGCGAAACATGAAGACGGCGTTGACAGCTGCCTTCTACGAATGGGAGCGTGCCACGTGTATACGGAAAGGGAAGCGTTACAGTCGTGATTGAAGAGACGTTTTAACCGGACAAAGTAAAGACCGAAGTAAAATTAGCTCGGCTTAAGGGCCCGAGGGTTTTTGGCTCGGCTGGAGAGGCTAAAGGGTTTTTAGCTCGGCTGGAAAGGCTTAATAAACTCTAGCTCGGCCAGTAGACTGGTAATCCCAATCATGTTGCGCAGATGGAATTAAGGGGCAATTGAGAGGGTAATTTTAGGAAGGGAAAATTTATAATTTCATTTCAAATAATCATCAGATTACTACACAATACCTTTATCTCATTCCTCATTTGACTCCTTTTCACTTCTCTGAGTATAATGATATTTATAGTATATATTCCTAAGAACATGAAAGTCATGCAACAAAACGACATTATGAAGTTATGACTATGAAACAAGGTACTCTGAAAATATTATCGTCACTCGTATCGGGTACTTTAATCAAGTACTGGTACTGCTATTGATAGGGTTGCATGCGTACCGGGGTACTTAAAATACGTACCAAAATACTTTTTATACATTCTTTTGATGTTGGGTACTCCGTGGGTACGGAATAGATACATCGGGAGTACACCAAGCTATAGGACATTGGTGAAGATACGTTTAATTTATTAAAAAGTTCTGATTTATTTCAAACTGCAAATCATTTACTTGATGTGTCAGAGATGAAATATGTTTATTTAATAATGAATTTGATGGAAATTAACCTGAGGTATCAAGTTTTCAAATTTCTTTAGCTTACTCTTGGAATGAAATTTTGTTTTGTAAATTCTCCTATTTAACGGCATTAAAATAACTTGTAGACTTTGTTTTGTATTGGTATTGTTGAATTATATTTCTCTTTTAGTTTTGTAATTTCTTCTTTAAGCTTTGGTATTAAACTTGGATTGTGTAGATTGAATCTCAAACTATAAATTATAAAAAAATAAAAAATTTATTGATGTACTCCAGCCGTACCCAGTGGCGAAGGCAGAAATTTAATAAGGGGCACTTGTTAATTATAATCTCAAAATTTTTCTTTCCAATCAATAATGATAATACAACAATAATTTTTGAGCTAATATTACACACAAAAATTAATATTCATTACAAAAAAAATTTAATTTAAACTCTTACAATTGACTCGACGAATTTTCATCGTTTGAAAACTTTCATAATAGTATCAGTGTCAATTGTCATAAAAAAATATCTCTCTCAATGTAGACAACTAAGCTATCATTCATCCTATGGTTCCACAACCGATTCTTCATAATATTCATAGTTGAAATACCCTCTCAACAGTAACAGTTGCAACAAGTAATAAGATTAGTACTAAAGTCAAGAGCAACACA